TGCCCATTTCGCAGAATATAACGTGGCAATGTTGTTAACAAGTAAAATAGCATGGCGGCCCGAACGAGCACAAAGGTCCTCACGACTTCAACGGTGGCGATGACGATGATGACGAAGACGGCGACGGCACTCCCCCTCACGGCCACGAAGGGTCTGTCGAACCTCAGATGATCCCTCCCCATTTCCAGGGCCAACCTCCTTTCCCTCATCTAAGGCATCACACTCCTTCTGCGTCGCCTCCCATTAACGGAATGCCATTCGCGCCTCGAGGCCACACCCCGCAACCGCAAATCGCATCCCGACCGTCGTCCAGAAATGATTTCCGCCGCGATCTACGTGTCCCTCAACCAGGCGCCCCTCAGCAAGTCACAAACGGCTACGCGTACATGCCTCAACCTGCTATTTACAACCCGCAAAGTCAACCTACCTATCACCACAATCTTCCGCCCGCAGCTCCAGCCCAATATCAATATGCCGCTACGCAACAACATCCTCCGGTCCAGTCATATATGGAGGATCAGCGTCGGTCATCCGTGCCTCCTAGCTATCCTCCGCAAGGTCCTCCGCAGAACCAGCCACAGCGTCATTCTCCGCCGCAACCAACTCATCAGATGCCACCTCAGCAAACGCCTCATATGTCTCCTCCGCAACCGCCTCCTCAGCATCTAGAGCCTCCACAGCAGCAGCAGCCACATTCGTCGCAATCAATGCCGGAACCCCAACAACTTCCTGCACCCATGGAGCCCAAGCATGAACCACTCCAGGAGAGAACCGGTCAACGTTTGTTAGATACGACATCGGCGATTAAAAAATTACCGCAGCGTAAAGGACACAGCATTTTTACCCCGATTGATGAGAATCAATCAATCCTGTCTATGCACCTGGATTCTTTCAACGCGGAACCCCGTAGTAAGGACGATGTCAATCGGTCCCAATCTGTGGATGTTGGTGCTGTATCGCGGGCCAAATCTGACTCATCTCCGCCTTTGCCGCAACGTTCCAACACCTCTAACCTACCCAATTCCCGCAATTCCATACCTACAATCCCTGAAACCACCTTTACCCCTCCTTCTCGCTCCAACAGCTTGAAGATTGGTGGTGGTTCTCGGCCCCGCCTAAAGGTGCAAATTCCCGAGGAGCAGTCTGAGGCCGGTAGCACTGCCGGCGGCGACACGGCTACCTCTCCCCGCACTACTACGGATACCACTGCGCAGTCCGCTCGCCGGAACGGCGTAGAAGGTCCTGGGGCTGGCGTGGTTCTTCCGCCTCCTTCACCTTCGGCATCGGCTATGCTATCTGCTGGGGCAACTGGGCCGCCAAACCCATTCGCTAGACCCCACCCGCAGACTCAGAACAATAATAGTATGAACATCGACACACCCGTTTCGGCCCTTCCATCTAGGTTCCTCAACAATGAATTCCTACCCAGCCCTAGTACTTTTTATCCCGAATGGAATTTTCGAGGTAGCGACAGCAACACCCTTCCGAGTCCTCTGAACTTCGCTACGCCAGTTGCCGGCTCAGGTCCTTCTTTTTTAAGGGATGACAATGGACCGAGCGCCACAAAGCGGAAGAGCCCGGATATAACCGCTGGTCATTCGGACGGACCAGACGGTGGCGAGCCCAAGAGGATCAGGGTTGACGGCTAGCCGCCCTCCAGTGTACATTTATCTCACTGACGCTATCCGGATAATCACCTATATTACTATTCTTTGATTTCAAACCTTGTTTATACCGCAACTCGCAATTGTACAACATTTTATAGAGCATCGGAGGGCATCTGCACTTGGATCACGAAGAGCTATTGGATACCTCCTTGTGTGTTTTTACCTAGCATTTGCTGGCTTGAACTTCAAACTGCGGCGGATACGCTCGTTTATGTCTTACGCCATGCAACTCGTTTTTTACTTCGCAGCATTGGCGTGGCGCCTAGGCGTTTTCATTATGGTTATTATGTTTTTTTATGTGTTTTCACCCTCGATCTCAAACCTCAAAATTTTTATACGACTCGGCAGCTCGCTGCTACCGGGGCCGGTGATTTAGAGAGACGGACATGACGAATGAGTAATGGAATTTGTGATTAACTAGCTTCATCGCATTCTATCCGGAAAAAAAAAGTTTTGAGACGGAAACTTTTTGAGACGAAACATGGGACGGCGTTTTTACGGACTTGTACACTATCTAGGTTGTTAGAGATACCAGAGGCGGATGGGAATGGGCACATGTTACCAGATCCTGAATGAGACTTGCATTTGACTTCTGAAAACCTCTACTTTACTTGTTTTGTGAAACCTACCTACCTAGTACACAGGTAAATTTGTGAGCTCATATGAAAAGGGGTTCGAACTCAATGCTACTCTGACAACGTAGGTCGTGATACTACCTACTTAGATACTTACCTACGTAATCAGGTTTGATGTTGATATTGACATCGATAAAGGATGGGAGCAACGGCCAATGGACGATAGTTACCGCGAATCCTACGGGTCAGCGATGACGTCGTGGGGAGGAGCTGGGAAGCGGGAGCCAAGACTTGAGAGGGAAGGAAGTAACCTGGTCCTAGCTGTTGGAGGGCAGAGGGAGGGAGCTCAGCTGAGCCGTGACCCTTGCCCCGTGTGAGCCGGCGTTCGAACATGGATACCTGGGTAGGTGGACGGCGGGATAAGGCAGATTGATAAGGAGCTGACAGCCCTGGAGCTTAGCTTTTGTTGGTACGAGATTTGTAGGCGTTTTTATTTTCTATCTATTACCTCAGCAATGTAAAGAGGTTACTGCGTATTGCTTGTATGTATGCCTAGTCTGCTGTGCTCTATCGTGTTTTATCCTGTTGAAAACCTTGAGCTGAGGGTCTTGAGGTGACGACAGCAATCTTCGTCGATCTCTTGCCAACTACGGCCATACTAGCGAAAAGATACGGGTTCTTGTGCTTCCCCACGGCGTGGTACTGCCCGGCTATCACTGGGTATTCGGGTATTGGCTGCGCCGTTGCGGAGCTGGATCCGGTACCGATGAGAGAGAGCTCGGCTGGATCTAGACTCCGCCCCTTGAGGAAACGGAAGAGAGTGGAAGAGAGTGGAAGAGAGTGGAAAAGTGAAGATGGGAAGAGGGAGAATGTAGGTAAGCAGCACGTAACCAGGTTTTGGGAAAGGCGGCGCGGACCGTGGGCTTGGGTCCTGGCCATGACCATGGGTGAGAAGGCCAAGATCATGGTCGCGGGCTATGCAGTAATAACAATATCCTATCTGCCGTACCTTAGTAGGTGGGTATGTATGTATGTATGTAAGTGCAGAGAGAGACACGTGTGAGTGGGTATCGTAGGTTAGTAGACAGATGTAGGTAACAGATCCATCCGCAAGTGCTTAGGTAGACTAGTAGCGGAATACCCAGACGGGGAAGGTTAACGGCCCCCAATCCTCGAGCTGAAATCTTGGTTGGTAGGCAAATAGTCTACTGTATATGCAGGTCCCGCACCATATAACCTTCTGAGGCAGCGAGGTCCTACTGCGTGAGTGGCTAGCGATGACCACCATTGTTTTTTAATGTTTCGGATGTGCATGGGTAGGTGCTAAGAGTGCTGATGGGCTTGGAATTCGAGACTTGGCACGTCTCCCACTGCCGGGATCTGTAGGGCTGGCTGACGTGACGCGCTGGGAGTAGGCTATTACTCGTGCGGATGGATTGCGGGTGAGATAGGGGTGGGGAGTCTGGGGGTTATGAAATTTTGGGTGAAAGTTAGATGTAGGTAATAGATGTCGTGCATTTTGAGATTAGGTATGGTCAAAGTGATGTATTGTATCTACTTGAATGCTTTCTTTGGCACGTAGGATTACCTGGGTATGTATGTTAGCAGCCCCGTAGGACGATCGTATATTCTCATACATCCACGCCCCTATCCTACTTTTCTCGAGTTATACCCAAGTCTTTATTCTCCGAGGTGTTAGTGTGAACGATACTTGGCGTGTAAGTAGTCAAATTGAAAGCGTCGAGTAAATTACCCCTATTTAAACCCAATGTGGGTTAAAAGTAAGCAGTGGCGGTTTTAGGGCAAGCTTCGTAGATCCTTATACGGGGCATCTAATATCTTCACCAACCAGTAGAAGATGATACTAACGTACAAACATTAGCTTCTCACGACCTAGCCACAGGGCTGATTTTAAGTAGGCCGTGCTACTTATACCGAACTGGTGAGGTCATTTCAAACCAGGTCAAGAAAGCTAGGCTATTGCATTTACAGATGTAGGGGCGGCGTAGGACAATAGTAGGCGCGCGGCTATATCTCCTAACATATAGAGGGGAATAGAGCGAATGAAGATGTAAAATGAGTATTCATTCCAGCTAAGAGGTATGTGGTAAGACGTTATACGATACCCGTATATGTATCTCACTGAGCCCCTCCAGCTTTAATCTAGTCTCAGGCCAACAAATTAGAAGCAGAAGATAGAACGTAAAAGCCACTTGTCTCATGATTCTCTCTTCGGTGTTCCAAATAGGTAGAGTGCGTCAATGGCTGGCTGTGGCTTTCGTTTTCGTACGACTTCCGATATATCGTCATTGGTGGATCGGAGTCTGACTAATAGATCAGACTAGAGACGGTGGCGTTCCATACGAATACAGGACGCGTTATGTCTCTGAATGAAGCAGGTGAAGAAGTGGAAATTAAGTAGGGGGTCAAAGGCGGAAGAAGCCCGATCACCTAAGGCCGTTTTCTATTACGCCCATTGCTATCTAGATTTAGGCCTAACGGCTCTAGCTATGCTACTCGTGGCTGTACAGACAAAAAGGCCCTCTATACTGGAACGTTGAGCCGAGAATTCATCATCATCTATAAGAAAGTCGGCATCCGGCTCTACCCGGCGCTATTCAACGCCACCGGATAGCTACAGGTACTATCGTCACTCGTACAAGTAGATGGGCCTGGTACACTAAAAGTACATACCTATTGGGCACAACTGCTCTTATCGAGATTTCTATATATCCGCGTACCAAGAAAAAAAAGAAGAATTCGAATCAGGGAATCGAACCCTGGTCTTGACGGCTCAGTCTTTCGAGAGCAACATCATATGTTAACCAACTACACTAATTCGGTCTTAAGATTCGCACTGGTTTTCGGTAATGGCTCGATTGCATATGATCACATTATAACATTGAATAGCTACCTACCCAGCACTCTCATTGGCTGAGCAAGTATGAACTAACTATTCGGATGAAAAGGTGGTAAAGGTTAGTTTTGGTATATTGAGCAAGTCTAGTCCATTAGTCATCATGTGCCAAGGGTAAATTAATACTGGAATTCAGTGGTCCTTCTGCTGAAATGTCAATGTAAGTAGACGGATGTGGAAAGGATATATCCTTGAGTCTTGATTCCAACGTTTGATTTGTCATGTAGTATATAACGAGTGAGACCGCTAGCAGGCGTTTTGTAGCTATATGTTACTTTTTAAGATATTACGGTAGGATGATAAATGGAGAATATATTCTGTTTTGAATAAAGGGGTAGGGATTATATAGGGAAGTACACCAAGGTGGCTGTTACTCGGATTAGTCTGCCCCCTATTCGAATCGGGCAGATACTAATCTTTGGGAAACCTACGTGTTTATTAAGGGATTTAAAGGTTTACCAGCAAGTCACGAACATATCACAAATATCTAGCACTTCAAAAGACTCATAACCCAAGAAACTAAAGAAAAAGAACGCAAACGCGTTGGCACTCTTGTCGAATAAAGTACCTAGGTATCTTCCAAGCTCTTTCCGTCCCCCGTTTGTTTGCGAATGGGTATCTCCTACCCCTAGTCGTCTCATTACTCCTCGAACTCGAAAAACCAGAAACGACCGAAAAGGATTAATCTGCAATAAAACATGTTTGTTGAACGTTCTTTTTTTGGACTGGCGCAGGCAGCAACCCAAGAATATCCGATTCCATAGCCAAGCTATGCCTCCTCCATCCAGGGTTACTGTATCGCCTTGGAAAACGATTTTTCTTAAGAGACCGAGCCGTCACCATTCTCCCATTCGCGAAAATCCCAAAGGGTAGTGGTTTGAACGTCAAACGCCGAATTTCAAATTAGTGAAAAACTAAATCCCAGTCTGGCCCTGGTTGGGAAGGGAACATGAAACGGCATGTTCTAGTGGTATCATTGAAATAGAAAAAAAAAGCGAACAAGGCCGATTGTATTAAGGAGCATCTAGCACACGTGCCGAATGCTACTAAAGGGAAGAATGCATCTGGAATCCATGGCTTCTAGGCGAAATGATGTAGGCGAATGTTCAATGCTGATATCCGTATTGTTTCGTACCCAAAGTCGTTCATCTAAAATACCGCCCCTAGCGGCGACTAGGAGGGGTTCCGGGTCCAGCGGTACCATCCATGTTCCCGGTTAACTCGGCAACACGGGCCTTAATTCGAGCTACACGAGATTCGATAGCTGTGGCATATTAGCAGTTGTATTACCAGACAGAAGAATGTGACCCTTACTCTCTTCGCCACTGGTGTCGTCATCACCATCCGTGGTCTTGCTATACGCACCCCGACTCTGCTCCTCACTCTGTCGTGCAGCGCGATCAGCTGCATTCCTCCTAATAGCAGCCCATCGATCCTGCATCGGGACTGTAGGCGACGGTGCACCCGCTTCGTCGTCTTCATCGGTAGGGGGGTGATTGCTGGGATGTCTAGCAATTGGAGGCGGCGCGGCGGAGTCAACACTTTGATCTTCATCAGGGACAAAGGCTGGCTGATCTACGAGCGGACCCTGGTCGAAGCGAGAGAACTCCTGATGAGCTTCCGCAGCTTCTGCCGTATCAACACGTGACAGATTGTCGTCGATAGATGGATCGTAGGATGGCTTTTGAGGTACGGGTGTGATTGGTGTTTGTGTAGGTGTCTTCTCTTCCGGACGTTCTTCCGGTGCCTCTAGAGTCGGCTCAACAGGGGCCGGTTGAGGTTGCTGTGCGGGAGAAGCACTTCGTGCCGGCTGCGACTGTTCGGAAGCAAGAAAGCTATTGATGTCAGTAGCTGCATTCTCAGGCAACTTGGATTGTCGATTCTTATTTCGGCCGAACAACTTTCTAAACCCGCCGCTCTTTTTCTCATCCTTGTGAAGTTTCTTGTGCTTTTTATTGTCTGGGCTGCTCGGTATCGGGGAAAGCATATTTTCCCGAGCAGTTTCCAGGGTCTCTTCTTCACGTGGAGGAGGGGGCAACGGTGAATCTCTACCTGTGGGCCCTGATCGCTCAGCGGGATGAATCGCTTGCGGGGCCTCAAGCTTCTTTTCCACGATTGGGGGCGAAGTTGGCACAGGTGTGATGGCCGCCGGAGATTCCGGCACAGGTTCGGGCTTCGGTTGCGGTGGCGGTTGCGGTGGCGCTACGGCTGGAGATGGAGCACGTTCTACGGCCTCAAGCTTCAGGTTACTGCCATTTGCCACCAGCCCATTTGTTGGTGGTGGGTGACTAGGCAACTGAAGGGACGTTTGAGATATGCCACGACCGGCAAAAGCGTTGCCGAGATATGCCTCACGAATAGCTTCCTTGTCATATTTGTTCGCCCATTTCATAGCCGGAGAAGCCACGTTTACCACGCCCGGCTGCAGGGTAAGAATGCTGTTGGTCTTTTCCTTGAGAACATCGGCATCCGTACGCCCACGTCTTTCCGCCTTTGGAATTGTTTGTTGTTCCTGGAGCTGCTTAGCTTGAAGCTTTTGCGCGGCCGCCTGGATCTTCGCCTGTTGGTCGGGTCCTATGCTAGTCTTGCTTAAACCAGCACCAGTAACAGTACCAGCGTTCGATCGATCGCTCTTATCGTTGATCGGTTTCGAGGTGGATTTGCTTCGAGATACTCCTCGTCCACGTCTAGTCCAACTGAAGAAGCCTTTCTTCTCTGCAATGTAGGCGTTCGCATCAGGCTCCGGAGCAGCACCTTTCACCATCTCTTCCATCACAAGCCACCGGCCTTGGCGAATGAGCGTCTCGACCACGGAACATCTTCCAAATGCAGATTTACGCTCAGCAGTCTCCTCGGGGGCCAAACTGCTCATCCATACCCACCAAAATGCATCGTCAAGATCAAATCGACTAATGCTAGCTAATTCACCAGGTTCTAGCTGATTCGTGCTCTCTAACCGGGGACGGTGCGATTGCGAACTACGTTGTCGGACAACCGTCTCGATAGGTGGCAGGATTTTATCTGGTGGTAGCAAGAGATTTGACGGACTATTCGGCGCGTCGTCGACAAATCCAGAGGACAGAAAATCTGCCCAAGAGGGTGTAGTTGGTCTTCCAAGGTTTCCACCTGATGCCGGAGTAGTTCGTAGTCCGCGGGGATTTCGAACCTGGTTGATCTTGACTGTTTCCTCGTCCTCTTCCTCCTCTTCTAGAGTATCTCCAAACCCAATGTCCTCGAATCGCGACCACGAAGCATCTCGCAGACTAGTAGAGTGCTTCGAGCTAGAAACTTGAGATTGATTTGCGAGAGAAATCGCTTTGAGAACTCTACGGCATTCTTCAGTTAAAGCCTTCACGGGATCTTCAAATTCGGAAAATTCACGAAGCGCTTGGTCTTCATCACGGTATTGGAAATGGTTAGCACGGCGTAGAAGAGCAAATGGTGTTGGTGATACGGTATCAACAATCATGACAACCTTGTATGTAGATGACATCAATAGCGACGGAGTTTGCGGAGGATACTCGGTTTCCTGCAGGAGTTTCTGCAGGGACATCGGGAGCATGGATATGCCCGCACGAGCTTGCTGGGGAGACAAGGACCTCAGGTAGGCAAAGAACATATGGCTTGTAGCATCAGCAGCGCTAGGATCCATTAGCAAACCGACATAAATGCGACTTTAGGGATGTACAAACCTCAACCAAGACTTATACCCGCCTTCGAAACCGTTACCGGAATCTTTGTGGTCGAAGGCCCACCATGCCGCCATACGGGACAGTTTACGGCCACCAAAGCCATTGGATTTGCCATGAGCCGCGATAGCAGAGAGCAGGTCGAAGTAGTTGAAGATGATCTGGGATCTTGCTTGGTTCTCGACGCTTAATGGAATAAAAGTCGAGAAGGAGTCGCGCGCCATGCTCGAGTCTAAGTAAGAAGTAATTCCTTAGCACATCTATTGTATATTCAGTGAAAAAGCTAGGCATACCTTGCTCTCCAATCTTGAACAGCTCGTAGGCATCCCAACCCACGATACCGCCCTGTAATCTACTCCAACACCATTTTAGAACACCGGATATGACCTAGATATATATTAATAACCGTCTATCGGACCGGCGCATTTTGTTCTATCAAGGCATACCATAGGCTCGGTCATCCGCAGTTCTTGCAGGAGGGCTTCACCGCGCAAGTTCTGGTTGCCATCGAAAAAGTGGCGGATAAATGTGCGGACGGCGCTAGGATCAGAAGTCGGGCGGAATGGGAGAAGAAGAAAGGGTAGATCGAGAGCTATGCAGGCGAATAAGTTAGCTTAGTTTACTTAACGTAAAAGAATGAATTGAAAGCATGTAAAATGGATTAATTCAGTACCTCTTGCTTTAAGCTCCTCTGTGCAAATCTTGATTAATTCTTGGACTTCTTCTGGTTCGATAGTTGTTCGCGTGTATGCGTCTTCCCAGCGCGGCTTGTTGGACAATTGATGCGTTAAGTCGTTCAGGTGGGCGTTCTTTTTCGACTTGAGCTTCGCTCCATCCTTGCCTCTTATTCTCGAGAAGAGGCTCGGCATGGTGATTGGTTATGACGAAGGTCGTTATGTAAATGGATACGAGACGAGGCAGACCACGTAAAGATTCACGTCTAGAGATTGAAAATCTTGGATCTTGGAAATAGATAGCCGAGTGGGTGTTTTGATAGTGGCAGAGTGGGAAGTTTGGCACGGGCTAACGCATAAGATGTTTGAAAAGGAAGACGACTTTGGGACTTGGACCAAGTTGCGCACAGCGGGAGTGGGGGTTGGGTATCAAGTAGTAATAATATCGAATTGTTATTGCTCGACACCGTCCACCGACCAGCGTCCGCCGTCCAGACCGGGTTGTAATGGGTATGATTGAGTGATTGAGATATTCTCTGGCCAGGAAAACTTCAACTTTTCCAG